CACCCCCTCAGCGCTCCCTTTCTCCCTCCCTCCTGTCAGGGACTTGGTCGGGATTGAGAGGCTAGCGCCCATCTTATCACACCTTGGCGCCAACTTCCCTTGGTCTTCCTCTGGTTGCACGGGGCATCAAAGGCCCGACCCACCCACGCACGGTTGGTTGCGGCTGTCCCGCTCTGTCAAGACCCAGGAAGATGTCAGCCAATTGTCTCCCGAATTCAGGAAGCTTGGCTCAGCACGCTAAATTAGCTCCAAAGGTAGCGCTTCCACCACTGTAGGTGCTCAACTCGATGGCAGCCTCTTGATGAATTATTGATCAAATCTCCCCTCTCCCCGCAAACCCGCCAACTTCATCCCTTCTGCCAACTGCCGCGGGCCTATCAGATAGGTAATGAGTACTGAGTACTACAAGAGACGACCAGACATGGCCACCAATCTGTAGTCTGATTGGTTCAAGGTGCTCGAGACCCTTGTGCGCGAGGCAGGGCTCTGATTCCTGGTCTGTCTCTAGTGGGAATTTTCTCGCGAGAAGAGAAGAGGGGGCTATTCAATTAGTTGGTTGGCATTGGGATGTCCCCGCGCTATCAACGGCTACAGACGTAGGTATCCTTTGATTCTCACCAATGCATTTTCCCATTCGGGTAAACATCACTCCTTTCACGTTGACATCGTCAGGTCACTTAATCCAGCCTGCAGATGACCCTGCCATTGGCGCATCGCGAATGTGTCTTATGGGTATCGATGGAGGGCAATCGGAATTGTGCGGCGTGCCGCTTGTTGGTCGCCACGCCTTTTCCTCGAGTCGAAAACCGTGAGAATGTCTTCTCCATAGCACCAAATGCTATATCGCTCTGTGGTGAAGAAGGTTCCCCGAAAGGAATACTCTGATCATGTTACACTCGTCTCGCCGGTTTGAGAGGGTACGTGGGACAAGAGTGTCTGTTCGTAGGACGTGAATCCGACACCAGGATAAAATTAACCCGGCACAAGCAGCGTTCAACAGATTGCCTCCATGGCAAGATTGACAGCGTGCGTGATCCAATCAGTCGTGCAGAGGGTGGCCATGGGCGCCAAGCTAATGGCCAGAAATGTAGTATCTTGCAAAATGATCCAAAATTAGCCTTGGAGCGCCTGGTGGCCGGTTCCTTGTCCGTGCATGGTCTGGCTACGATCATCCTTTCCCTGGTCCCCACCCAATCTATGGCTTCTACTCCCACCACCGCAATTTCCCCGATATGTACATGTGTGTGTGTGTGTGTGTGCTCAGTGCTCACGGCCCTGTCGGTTGCTCGGAATTGATTCTAAAATAGAAACATCATGACCTGCTTCATCCGAGATCGACCTCCTACTTTCATCTTTAAAGCTTCCTTCATGCCCACCGATCATATCAATTTCGATTGTGGACCACTGTCTCCCAGCATTATCTCTTAGCCGCCTCGTCCTTTGCAGCCTGCGCCTTTCGTTCTCTAATACCCCACTTAGACACCAAAGGCTGCTGGTTCAGTCTTGCCCTTAATAACCCGCATATCCCAGCAATCACTCGCCACGCGCCTGTGTCCTGTCCTTTTCGAGTCCCTTACCGTGCGCCACGATACAAGATCAACCATGCCCGTTCCATCAAAGAAGAAGTCCTCACCTACCACAATGATTCCAATCAAAGCTGAAGACCTTTCTCAGCCGTCATCTAGTAGTGAGGGTACATCGACAAGAACGACGGACAAGGTTCCAATGAAGCTACATAAGCGCTCACGGTCCGGTACGTTGCCACTGACATGTACCTTCAGAGTACTAGGTGTCTCGAAGGTCTGGCTAACAACAGTGCTTCTCACTCAGGTTGCTTCACATGTCGCCTACGCCGGAAGAAGTGTGACGAGAAGCACCCATCATGTAGCGCCTGTATCAACCTCTGTGTCAAATGCGAATACAAACGTCCTGTTTGGTGGGGCAATGCCGAGCAGAGGAGGATTCAAAAGGAGCGCATCAAGAACAAGATCAAGCAAACAAAGATGAATGAGCGCAATGGTGCTTTGACTGGTGGGTAGTGTTTCTGTGGAACGCATCAAGGTATAGCCATCTGACCAGCCTTGGTGTGTCATAGATCCCTCGGCCCGCAACCGCAGTATGGCCGTTCCGTCACCAACATCTCCAGAATACGAGCTTAGTCGGCCTGCGTATCCCGAGCAGTATGATATCTTCGCATCTCATCTGCCTACTCCGGCCTTCACTCAGAATATATATGGACTGCCACATCCTTACGAAATCGACGTCAAGACGGAGCGACAGACATTCATCAACGACGTCCCACTACGCCACGATTCTTGCAGCTCGACATTCAGCACATTTGCTCCTCCCCAGCTGAACGCTCCCCTGCCCACTTTCCCCGGAGAAGATTGGTTCCAGGATGAGTATTTCGCGCAGGTTCCTACGCTTCCGGGACTTGATCCAGCACTCTGCGAGCAAACTATCGGACAGACGTACGCGATCCTGCAGTCAAGCATACCCGTCAGTGATCATGACCGCCCGCTTCTCGATCACTTTATCTACAATGTTCTACGCATTATCTTTCCTGTGCTGGAAGCTCACCAACGCGGACATGTGCGAGCTCAAGCTATTCTTCAGGCTTTGGAAACTAACAAGTGCTACCTTCACTGCTGCTTGAGTGTGGCCGCTATTCACAGGAAGACGACAGAAGGTATTGTTGGAGAGCAGATTGACCACGATATCATGCGCAACCGTTTCGAGGCAGTTTCACAGCTCTGCTTGGCTCTTGGAGAGGATACTAACCACGAAGAGATTCTCGATGCAACTCTTGCCATGATCTTCTTCCATTGTTCCGTGGGTCCCGCGGACGATTATCTCCCGGATATCCCATGGTTCGATCACTTTCAAGCCGCATCCAACTTAGTGAACCGACTGGGCCTATCGTCGCCTGTACCTCCCTGCGGGAACCCATACATGCCGCCTCCATTCACCATGACATTGGCTTCTTGGATCGATATCCTAGGCTCTACCATGCATGGAAAGACGCCCGAGTTCGCACATACTTATCGCTCCAAGCACCTGAGTGGAACATCTTTGGGTCTACGTGAACTCATGGGCTGCGATGATCGCGTCATGTACTTGATTTCGGAGATTACTTGCTTGGAGGCATTGAAAAGGGAGGGAAGGATCGATGATCTGGCGGTCTGTTCTCACGTTTCCGCCCTGGGGCAGCAATTGGAATTCACGGAATCGCCAAACCAGCCCTTGGAGAGCCCGTACCTGCCTAATGGAGCTTTCTCTCCAACGGTCCTGACCAACAACATCACGGCGATTTTCCGACTTGCAGCCAGGATCTACCTCTGCAGTCTGGTTCCTGGATTTGACCGCCACCAACCAAGTAACACCAATTTGGTAGCAGCGGTTGCCAATGCTATTCAGTACATTCCATCTGGACCAGAAGGATTCGATCGTTCGCTGGTCTGGCCTCTGCTTATCACAGGGGCATTTTCCGCGCCGAACAGCTCTTTCCGCAACGTTCTCGCCGACCGCGCCGCGGCTCTTGGTGACCACGCAGACTTGGGCAGCTTTGGCCGCATGTACCGAGTTCTAAAAGAAGTGTGGCGGGTGTCAGACGAGCCTATCGAGCCTCTACCGAGCCAGGATGCTAGCCCCTCGTCTTCAGCAAACGGCAGCAGCCCCATCAAGCGCGAAAAGTCTGAGTCCCCGAAGGAAAGTCCTGCACACTGGGATACAGAGGAAGTGAAGAAACCGTTCATCCACTGGCGGGAAGTGATGCAGCAAAATGGCTGGGATTATCTGCTTCTTTAAAATTACTAATTAGGGGTTTCATTCTTCTGCGACGGGATCGCATCTCGTTGCATTCTATTCTATACCCTTGAAGGGATCTTTACTCAAGCGGGCTTGAGAATACTACCGACCCGAAGAATCCGATAAACTTGGCCCACGGACCCGAGAGAAGAGCGAGCACTTATTTGCTCGAGGACAACCGGATGCACGAGCTGGCTATCGGCATTCTACGCCTCATCACCTATCTGCACATTTCAGGAAAAAGTCCAGATACCCCCTAGACATTACATTGTTTGCCTTGACCTATTCATCGGATCTTTGTTTTATACAGTCATTTGACCTTTACATACACCACCATCATGTTGACCGCTGGGCCGGACAACAGTGACGAGCGATTTTCATTTCTTGGCGGCAGCATTGAACGAGCGGCGATAACTGCGAGAACGCAGACAGTCATACCCCCATACCCCGGGCCAGGAGTTACTGGAGTTGCTTTTACGTGTTTGGCTTTGCTTATGATGATTGATTACACCAGGGACTGTATCTCTTCGCTACAAACTCCAAAAACCCATATCTTCAATTTGATGCGCTTACGTTTGGTATGATTTATTGACTACATGCTCTCTCACCTTTCCCCCTTGATCATATATCCCTGATCGTTGCCCTGTGGACTTTGTGGATTGCTTTAGTTGTATATCGAAGTATGACATTCGGGCCCGGTATAGCATTTGATTAAAATTCCAGAATGTGTAATTCTACATCATTAGCTACAGCTAATGAGCTCCTAAAAGCACCACCTTCATACTTGAATAAGAGCTCTTCAGTCATGGATCATTGCCAGGCACAGTGTGCTCCAGCCAGTCTCTTCTCATTGGAGCTAGCAGCTTTCATCCGTGGCAAAATGAACGCATCGCATCGCATCTCGACCGTGACGGGGTCGGCTGGCTTAGTCAGCCCCAACCATGACATCAGCGATACAACCCACGGCCATATTGGAGAAGTCGAGGAATTTGAAAGGCGTTGAGGCCATGCGATGCTTCTTGAACCAAGTTGTCACAGCAAGTCCTTCTCAAAAATCAAAAGGGCTGTTCAGTGAGTGTAGTTCAATGATCACAATGTAGCAGCACGTGCCACCCGTCAAGTCGATCGGTAGACGGGTTGTGGAAGGCGGCAACCGCCAACCGCCAACCATCCATACAAACTCAGAGTCGATTCTTAGAATCTCTACTGTCCACGTCCACGACTGTGGGCATACCAAACCATGGACTCGACCATTTTCAGGTTCCGAGCGAAAGTATTTCATCATAACCTCCACTTTTATGGGCATTGGGAATCGAATTGAATGCAGGTCGAAAACACCGAAAATATGAGTAAGGTGACTCTGACTGCATGGGGATCTGATATCATAGCTTCATCATTGACCCAAGCTGGAGGGCGAAAAAAGTGACATCAGATTGAACCACCCACCTTTGCTTGCAATCGACTACATGTATATAAAGCCTCGCGAAATTGCACGACTGAATTATTCTAACCAGATTCAAAGCCAGTAATAACTCTACATAACTTCGAACGAAAGCCTTTTCCACCACAAGTCCAACCAACCTTTTTTTCTTTCCTCCATTTCCAAAACAACAACCACCACCACCACCACCACCACCACAATGTCTTCTCCTCACCGCGGCGGCAGACTCGAGGACATGGCCCCGACGGGCACCTCGATCCCCAACGACGCGGGCCTCCAGAACACCATCCCGTCCGTGCCGCGCCCGGACCAGCGGGCCGAGCACGGCGGCTTCGACAACTACGGCGTCGCCCAGCCCTCCTCCGCCTTCGCCGCGGACAACGCCACCGACATGCCGCGCAGCGCCCGCGACATGGGCGCCACCGGCGAGGTCCTGACCGGCACCGGCAACTCCTTCCCCGCCGAGGGCGAGTCCAAGCGCACCTTCATCGGCAACCAGCACCCGGGCGCCAAGGGCCACGGCCGCGACCTGAAGCACCGGAACATGAACCGCGGGGCCTTTGACCGCTTCGCGGCCGAGGAGGATGACGCGGCCGGGGAGCATCAGATTCGGAATGAGTAAATGGTGTTGATCGTTTTTGTCTTGTGTGATGACGACTTCTCTTTGGAATGGGATGATTGAGTCGCGGCTGGTATGCGACTTTGCTTGATGGATAACGATATTCTGTGATGGTTGGAATCAATTGTATTATAGATCTTTCTTTGAGGTTGATCGACCTGGGTTTTGGACAGGTCTTGATTGTTGTGTAATGAAGAATCGCATGATATGGTCATTATCAATTCCATCTGTTGTAGTTGAATAGAAATATGCATATGTATTCATGTGTATGTATCTGCGTATGGTATATTGGTATATATGTGTGTATACCAACACGATCAACCGATGAAGCCACGATAGATCTCGTCCAGCACATCGCGTTTGCGTTTGCGGTCGGCTCGCTCGGCCTCCTCCGCCTCGTCCGGTTCCCCTTCGGGCTCCCTCGACACCCAGCCGCGGATGGTGCCGTCGCCGTGGGCGGAGAACATCTCGATCCCCTCGCCGGATGCCCCGTTGCCGCGCCAGGCAAGCGAGTTGATCCGTGCGGCGCTCAATGCGGTCGACCGGCCACGAAATTGCGGTCCGGTGGTCGCCAGTCCGGGCACCCGGAGCCGTTTGATGTGCGCTCCTTCGCGGAGCTCGAACATGTAGATCTCGCCGCGGTCGTCGTGCTCGTTGAAATTCGGCCACAGGAGCGTCTCCTGCCCAGCCGCCATGAGACCCCGCGGGACGACAAGCGGCGCCCGCTCCGCCAGGTGGGAGGAGACGCTGTTGCGCACGCGGGGCCCGAAGTGCACCAGCGTGTTCGCCCCGGTGCCCGCGTCCCAGACGCGGATCCGGGCGTCCTGCCCGGCGGTCACGAGGTGCGAGCCGGTCGACGTCCACCGGACGCCCGTGACGGCCCCGTTGTGCGCGCGCACGTGCGGCGAGAAGGCCGGCCGCGGTTGGTAGGAGGGCGGGGCGGTGGTGGGGGCACGCACGAGGCCCACCGCGTCGTCCATGTGCAGCGCCGCGATGGCGGAGTTGTGCCCGCCGCGGCGGATGTCGAAGAGGATCACCCGGTTATCCGTGGAGGCCGTCGCCAAAATATGCGGCTGGTGCGGCGCCCATGCGACGGAGAGCACCGCGGATTCGTGGCCGGGGAGGCCGTGCGTCGATAGCCCCGAGCGCAGGTCCAGCAGGCGCACGGCTTTCTCGGAGGTGCCCACGGCGATGAGGAGCGGGGCGCCCGGGTGCGAGGACATGGCGTGGGTGTACGGCGTGCAGTCGAGGCGGAACGTGTGCACGGGGATGATGGCCTCCGGGGACAGTGCGGAGAGCTTGAGCGTGCCATCGTGCGAGGTGGTCAGGATGGTCGACGGCGTCGGATCGAAGGGGTAGATTGAGATGGAGGTGATCGCATGTGTGTGCGCATCTTCATGCGACGCCTTGTTGACCGATGCCACCGAGCGATGGACATGATTCAGCTCGGATCCGCGGGACTCCAAGTCCCATAGGTGAATGGACGGGTCTGCGCCGCCGGAGACCATGCTGAGATAGCGTTTAGTATGAAGACTTGCAACTGGAGACGAGAGGGGGCGTACAATCTGCCTTCATTGTGATCAATGGCAAGTACTTTGACTCCGGCTCGATGAGCAAACGTCTCTTCTTCTAAGCCCAAGTCCAAGGACCCATCTGGAATCTCTTGGGATCGACCATGCGCCAATAAAGTGTTGTGCTGACTGGAGAAGCGTATACCGGGCGCCGGCTCAAGGTTTAGGACAAGGCGAGTTGTCTGCGCGACATGAAACGTGGATGGATGAATGGACCCCAGAGTCCTGTTGAGGATGTAAGAATTCATTCATTCATCAGGATATATCGCATTCAGATTATAGTTATTAGGTCTTGTGAGGTGACGTTCATCACAGCTTGCGCTGATGGAGGAGTCCCTCCCTCGGCTGCGGGGACGGAAGAATGTTGAACCGGGAAGCTGTCCTAAAGTGGAAAGACGTGTTTCTCCCCGCCCCGCTCTGGCCCGGGCCCGGGTCCGAGTCCGACTCCGCCCGCTCTGTCGCAAACCAAACCAAAATCAGAGACACAATCAATCCTGGCAGATCCAGACGGTCTCTAATCTCAGCAGCGAGGCACGGCCCCCATTATCCAGTGGCGCGGCAACTTTCCTGATGCTCTCGCACAGGTCGAGCTTGTCCTGCACCGACGGCTATCGCTATGTCGCACGGTAGATCTCTGGCGCTCAGCCAGAATTCCTTTGTCAAGCCGCCCGACCTCGGAGACGAGCCGGAGGATGACCGACAGGATGAGGCGGAGGTGACCAAACAGCGACGATTGGCAACAGTTTACGATGCCGTAGCAGGTGAGTCGGGCGTTCTCTATCATATACGCTTAATCACAGCGAGTGCAATCTGACGATCCGAATGTCAAGGCCGGATTAACGCGCATGGTTTTCTGCCCGCCGTGCCGTATGCCTCCAAGAACCGCGACACAGCCTCGTCGAGCAGGCGTTCGGTTCGCCCTGAAGAGGTGCTTTTCCGTCGGCAGAATGCGCCCATTCGCTACGAGGAAAACGACTTCTATTTCGCCCATGAATCCCTCCCAGCCGACCGTCAGCTTCCCTCGTCCGAGCTGCTAGAAGCTGTACATGCCTACTCGGCCGATTTCTACGATCACGCGACCATTGACCGCGGCCAGCACGACCATCACAGTATGGACGAAACCGCGTTAATCGCAATGGGGATACTGTTGGAGGAGATGGCCAAAGAATCGCTGGGTGAGACGGGCGACCTGGTCTTCGTCGAAGGGGAGGAAATTTCTACCGACGAGGATCGGCTGCCTTCGCAATCGGGCCGGCGCGTAGGTCGCAAACGGGCGAATACACAGAATAGTATGATGGCCAGCTCGGGTGACGAGATCAAGGCTCCCTTAAAGCGACAGAAGAAGCGCAAATTGGCTCGGAAGGCTTGGACGAGTGATATGGACACAGAGCTTGATGACCTACTATGAGGTCTGAAGTTGTGATTGAACCGACCTCTCCCCCCGTCCTGCTGATTGGAGGTTCGTCAGCGGAGAGGCAACTCAGCATACTTGAGGGGGCATTCTACTTGGTTAAGGAGACCTATACTGCCAGCCAATTCGAGCTAAGATACACTGCATATACCGCGTGGCGCATCCCCACCGCCGAATGCACCCTGTTCTTGCGTTCAAGGCCTAGACAGTATGCAGGGTCAAGCCCCAGGTCATGTAAAAGAATGTTTGTATCGCCACCTGAAACTCTTTTCGCATGACTTGAACCACAGCCCCAAACTCATGAATCCAGGTCAATGGCCGAGGCACGGTTCAACTACCCATGAACCACTTTACCAGGAGATGCTTAATAGCCAACAACACGAGTTGGGTAATTTGGAAACAGCCACAGACGGAACACTGTCAGCACGCAGTGGCATGTGTCAAGTGACCACCTCACCCCATCAGCTGAGAGCGCATGATATTATCCGTTGCTTGTGGAAAGTGGCCAGCGTATCACTCGCCTAGCTCTTACGCCTCCAGCGAGGGTTTTAATTTAGCTCGGGCTCGTCCAACGTGGCCAACCAGTCTCCAGTCGCGCCCATCATCGGGAACTGTAACGCAATGTCAAATCCGTCCCGGGAGGCGCAGGCCAAGGTCTTGGCCATTGCGATTTCTGGACTAGACACTCGTTTACGCTTGGGTCGATGGAACTAGACCCTCCACTCTCTGCACCCCGGACCGCATCCCCAGATTTCGGTGGGATGATCGTGGTGGGCCTCTCGCTGGCACCAGCTCCATGCTCAATGTTTAGCCTAAATCAAGATCACATCTCCAGTCTGTGAATCAGGGTGATTGACCGTGGTCGACATGTCTAGCTAGCATCTTCTAAACATGCCTAGGCTCTCGGCCCGGCCCAACCTTCAGTGTTTGGCTCACTGCCTGACCGGACTTTGAGACTAGGCCGTCGTTCCCTTTGGATAATGTTAGAGCCAGGCCCTAATTCTTCCCCCGTGTAGCTATTCGCAGGCGACTGCATCTGTTTAGGCGTTACCTAGGTTTAGCCGCGAGCTCGCGAGCTCTCCTAGACCGGTGGACATTCTGCATGTTCCTCGTATGCCATATAGCCGGATGGTAAAGCTGGCAAACACTAGATTTTAAGCCTGTCCCCGCGCCTCAAGGATGTCCTCTTTCTCTGGAACTCTTATGCAGGAAACTGGCTGAGTGTCCTACAGTACCTTTCCCACGCCTTTGGATTTACGCATTGAACGGTCACCATGGGTTCTTCCGGGACCTTCGAGCTCGCTGGCCAGCATTTTCCCCGAGTGACATGGTACAAGGATCCTGGCATGAGGAAAACGTACATTTGCCTCATGTTTGTCGTATTGACTTCCGTATGTGCATACACTTGGCCGGTGAGGGTTTCCCGGTGCATGACACGTTACTGACAGGGTCTCAGGCAACGAACGGCTACGATGGGTCGATGATGAATGGTCTTCAGACCCTGTACTACTGGAAAGACTACTTCCATAACCCTGGTGGCTCGAAGCTTGGCATCCTGAGTGCGATCATGTCCCTGGGCTCATTGGCGGCGCTGCCTGCGGTGCCCTATACGGCGGATTACCTCGGCCGGCGGATGGGAGTTCTCATCGGCTGCCTCATCATGTGAGTGTCTCAAGCTACTGTTCCGACTCTGTGCTGTGCTCATTGTGTGGTCAGGATCTTGGGCGTCGTCTTGCAGGCCGTCAGTGCCAACTATGGCATGTTCCTGGCAGCCCGGTTCTTGATCGGGTTCGGAGTCGCCATCGCGCATGGTGCTTCACCCTTACTGATCACGGAGCTTGTACATACGCAACATCGTGCTGTTTTTACCACGATCTACAACAGTAGGTTCTGATACTATGTTGATTGCCCGTTCAATACTGATCCCTGCCTTAGCGACATGGTACGTGGGCGCCATTGTTGCCGCGTGGCTCACCTTCGGCACGAACAACATTCAAAACAACTGGTCCTGGCGGGCACCCACGATCGTCCAGGCTGCTCCATCCATCCTGCAGATCCTCTTCATCTGGTTTGTCCCGGAGTCTCCCCGGTTCCTGATCTACAAGGGCAAACATGAGCAGGCCCTGAAGGTCCTGGCGGACTGCCATGCCAACGGCAACCAGGAGGACGAAGTCGTCCAGCTGGAGATGCACGAGATCAAGGAGACCATCCGACTGGAGAAGGAGTACGAAAGCAACAGCTGGATGGAATTGATCCGGACCAAAGGAAACCGCCACCGCGTAATCATCTTGATCACTGCGGGCCTCTTCTCGCAGTGGTCCGGCAACGGGTTGGTCTCGTACTACATCGCGAAGATCCTGACCTCCATCGGATATACCAAGTCCGTCGAGCAGAACCTGATCAACGGCTGCCTTCAGATTCTGAACTTCATTGTCGCTCTCTCGATGTGCTTTGTTGTGGACAAGGTCGGCCGGCGCCGGCTTTTCCTGATCTCCACGAGTGGCATGTTGGTCGCATTTATCATCTGGACCATTTGCTCGGCGCGGTATGAGATTGCTCATAACCACGGGGCTGCCAACGCCGTCGTGGCGATGATCTACATCTACTATGTCTTTTACAATGTCGCCTGGTCTGGCCTACTGGTTGGCTACACGGTGGAGATTCTTCCCTACAGTATCCGCGCTAAGGGCATGACAGTGATGTGGTTCTGCATCGATGCTGCACGTGAGTTTTTCTTTTTCTTTCCGGAAGGCAAATGATAAGGATCAACACTAACTCCAATCTAGTCTTCTTCAACCAATACATCAACCCCATTGCCTTGGACAACCTGGGCTGGAAGTACTACATCTTTTACTGCGTCTGGCTCGGGGTCGAGTTGACGGTCGTCTGGTTCTTCTACATTGAGACCCGTAATACCCCCCTGGAGGAGATCGCGAAGCACTTTGATGGCGACCAGGCGGTGGTGGGAGGAGTGGCCGGAGTCGGAAAGGGGGGTGATGAGATCCACCACATTGAGGAGACTTCCAAGGAGGGGGGCTTTGTCCGGGAGGTGCATGTCTGATCGGGGGCGGGGGGGTGCATGGGTGGCAGGCGTCAACATGAACTTGATAGTCTACTTTGAGCACTGTCTCAATAGGGCTGATAAGTCTTCTAACCTTGAAAAGGTCATAGTGCCAATTCGGCATGCGTGAGATTGTCTTCTTTAGTGCGGCGTAGGCAGTAAGTTAAGGTAGATTGGCCAGTACGGACCATCTTGTTCCACCAAAGACTGCCGGGCTGTTCACCCTAGCCTCAGGCACACATCGTGCCTGGTTGATGGTCCATCCAATCGCCCTGTTTGTACCTACCGTACTTACCGTACTTGGTAAATCAGAGCAATCTCCAGCTGACACACCACCACTGTCTACAGCACAATCACAATCACCATTCTGGTCTCCAAAGTGCTGATCCCACACAAACAAACCAGCAACTGCCATTATCGACCCAGATCCACAAGACTACGACTACGACTACGTCTACGTCTTCACAAACAAGCCTTGCGATTAGCAATCATGGTAAGCCGACTGGAAGTGGGGGGGGGGGGGGAGGGGGTTTCACCCATCCCGGCTAGCACCTCACTTTACACCTCACTTACCTTGACGCCGCCCCCCCTCCCCGACTGCACAATTCGCTACCGATAACCCAGCTAATCCCGAAACCCAAGCCCCCGAAACTCACCAAGAGCGCCAAACAGGCCCTGATCGTCTCGCACCTCCGCGCCAGCGGCACCTGCCACACGCTGAAGGACCTCGAGAAGTCCCTGCCGGCGGTGGCCTCGATCAACGCGATCCAAGTGAAGGAGTTCCTGCAGGAGCTGGCGGACGAGAATGAGATCCGCGTGGAGAAGATCGGGAGTTTGAACTGGTACTGGTGTTTCGCGGGGGAGGCGAAGCGCGAGCGCGAGAATCGGTTGCGCGCGGTGCAAGCGGAGGTGGAGCTGGTGGGGAAGGAGGTGAGTGAGTTGGAGGCGTTGGTGAGGGAGAGGAAGGCTGCGGAGGAGAGGGAGAGGGTGGAGGATGAGAGGGTGAGGGTCAGGGTGAGGGAGGCGGGTGGTGGTGGTGGTATTGGGTATGATAGGGAACAGGAGAGGGAGCGGCTAATGCTACGGAAAGTGGAGCTGCAGGAGGAGATTCGTCATCTGCAGGGGAAGGTGACGGCGGTTTCGGGATCCAGTGGTGGTGGTGGTGGTGGTGGTGGTGGTGTTGTTGAGGAGAAAAGCTTGTCGTGCGTGGTGGAGGAGACGGAGGAGTTTCGGCGTCAGGCGCTGATGTGGACGGAGAATATTTATGTGCTGGAAGGGTTTGTCGATCGGCTGACCGGCGGGGATCGGGAGGTGTTGCGGGCGCTGCAGCGCGAATGTTATGGAGAGGAGGAGTATGTGGAGGGGGAGGGGTTGCGGGAGATTTTCGATTGAGGGGGATGGTGATGGTGATGGTGATGATGATGATTTTACGGTAGTGTAAGTTACTTAGTGGTGTTGTTGTTGTTGTTGTTGTTGTTGTTGTTGATTTATAAGATGGAGAAAATCAGGGCATGTACTGTACAGTAATTAGTGGTGCTCCAGTCCAGGCTGCTCCAGCTCCAGCCGAGCAGTGAGTGAGTGGAAACTGCCGAGCCACGAACGGCCCAAGAGAAGCTTGACTGTCTCGCCTCCTCTTGCTTATCTGCACTTACCGTGGTCGATTCTCCTCTTTTCCCTTTCCCAATCCCACTCTTTCACCCCCCCCCCCCCTTCTGTCTGTCTGTCCGTGTCTCTCACTCAAACCCACTCCCCGATTCCATCTCATCCCATCCCAATTCATACCCCCGGGGGGTCGACCTTCCACTCACTCAACTCACTTCGCTCACTACAATATCTCTAGACTACATTCATCTTTATCCTCTTTTTTTGTCTTCTAATGCAATTCATTTTCTGTATTTGATTTTTTCCTCTATCTTAATCCTTTTGCCCCCCTCTTCCCTCCCTCACTCTCTTCTCTATCACCTGCATCAACTACCTGCATCTCCTCTTCCCCCCCTCCCACTATTTCCCACTTAAGCTTTGGCCCTCCACGGTCCAAAAACGCCCTTTGGGTTCGGACCTACTGCTATTACTAGTCAAGTCTAGTCATCCTAGCCTAAGGGGGGCTTTTCTAGCATCCATCCATCCATCCATCTCATCTTGTCATTTCTCCCACTTGAGCTCCACTCTCGCTCTCTCGCTCTCTTTCTCCCTCTACTAGTCCCTCTAACTTCCTCTCTCTGTCTCTCTTTCTTCCTCTCTCTGTCTCGCTCCTCTCAACCATTGTTCGCAATTCCATCCATCCCGAAGAAATGATGCGGACCAGTCAGCCCGACTCTTAATCCCTGACAATTCTCTCTTCTCCCTTCCTCTCCCCCCGGATAATTCTTCTCTTCATTCCTCCCCTTCTTTCCTTCTTTCTTTTACCTCTTTCTGCTTAGCTAGCCTTTGCTAAGTTTCCTGACGGTCGGACAAGAAAGGTCCTTCCCGAACACGTCTTCCCCTCCCCACCCCGGATTGGGGATTCTTCCCCACGCGCCTTTCAGTCCTCTGCGTGATTTTACAACTTAGGCTGAAGCGACGCAACCTCTCATAAATTGCGCGCCATCCAGTCAATTTCTCCAGCTGCGTTAGCTACGGAGGTTGAAAGAACTTGGTGGTTATTGCTGACTGCCTTCGCGCCCGACGGCCAGATCGGGCCGGACCTGCCGGGGGATTGACTGCTTGCTTACCTGCTTGCCTGCTTGCCTACTTGATTTGATGCTAGGAACGGAGAATTTCCCTTCTGTCTCGATCGCATCCCCATCTCCCATTCTGGTCGGGGCTTATTCTCTAAGTTGTCATCCTTCCTCACGTTACCCGCCCCTTGCTGCCTCGTCGACCTTGAATCAACGACGGCTTTCGTCATTCGACGGCAGTACGCTGCGCTGAGAGGCTCCTCTCGATTCCACCCCTCTCTTCCCCTCCTTGCTCCCTCTCTGGCTCGGCACTCTCCCTGTCCTCTTGCTCGCCCTCAATTGACTGCGCTGAATTCTTCTACGTCCATTGTGTTCGCCGCTTGCCAGCCACCTCATTTCGCTCGCCATTTGTATGGATTGGGCGACGTAGTGGCTGTGTGTCATGTCCGTCAACCCTCTCCCTTCTCGACCTTCCTCGACGCTCCGTCGGAATAGCTCCTCCCTCCTAGCCAAATTCCGCTCCCAACTCGGCCCTCGAAATCGCAGCATCACCGACTTCTACATTGAGCCTGACGATCCCTGGCGCTCCTACTTCCCCGGTGACACCATCACCGGCACGGTCGTGCTAACCGTTGTTCGGCCCGTTCGCATCACACATCTCGTCGTTTGTCTGCATGGCTATGTCAAAGTCTACAAGAACACCGTCCCGACGGGGGAGTCATCGCCAGAGTTGGGATTTCTGGGTCCCGGACGCGGGCGTCGAGGGGCGGAATATTTGGGCAATGGCTTGTCAACCTTGTTTGAGGATGAGGTCGTCCTGTGCGGGGAGGGTCGTCTCAAGGAGGGTGTCTACAAGTTCCGCTTCGAGATGTCTTTCCCACCGTATGCGCTACCCAGTAGCATCAATGTAAGAGCCTTGCGACAACCTAAACTGCCTGCTGAAAGTGGCCGGTGCTGATATCATGACTCGGACGCAGTTCGAACGAGGGACCATCTCCTATATGCTTACGTCCACCCTAACCAAGCCGACCACGATTAACCCGACTTCCACCTGCCGACGACGCGTCACCGTGTTGGAAAACATCGATATTGCCCCCTTTCCTCGCCCCAAACCTCGAATTGTCACCCTCGAACCAATCTCCCGACGCGCCAAGTCCAAAGCGAAGGCCAAGTCAGCAGGATCTGACGCGCCCGATACGCAGTCGCTCGATCCCCCGGAAAATGGCGAGAACTCGACCGACAATCGCCCGCCGCTCAGTCCGGCACCCAGCAACGTCAGCTCCTCCAGTCGACCGAGCAACAGCAGCCAGAGCTTTCGAGTTCCTAGCGATCCAAGCTCGTCGACCAGCACCGGAATGCGCAATAGTGAGGCTCGGAGCATTACCCCATCGGTCACGGACGGAATAATTACCGCGAAGGCCGAAGTTTTGCGCGCGGGCGTGCTGCCAGGAGATACATTACCTATCATGGTAACGATCAACCATTGCAAACAAGTGCGCAGCGCGCATGGTATAATTGTAACCCTCTACCGCCAGGGACGGATCGATTTGCATCCAGCAATTCCTATGGGCAAACCGGACGGAAAGAAACCCGTCTATGAGGACTACTATCCACGCTCTCGGACGGGTCTGGGAGGGCTAACCCTCGGCTCTAGTCGCACCACGGGGGTCTTTCGAAAAGATTTGACGCAGACCTTTGCACCTCTTATAGTGGACCCGGTGACCATGACGGCCGTCATCAAGACCTCGATCCGTGTACCCGAAGACACCTTTCCCACCATCACGCGTACCCCAGGAAGTATGATTAATTTCCGATACTATGTTGAGGTTGTGGTCGACCTTCGGGGGAAGCTCACTTCTCCGGACCGGTTTCTGCCACGGTTTAATATGGTCACCTCGGGTGGCAATTATTCGCCCAGTGGACAAGTGCTGAACCCGGCCGATGTCAACAACAGTGCAATCACAGCCAACTGGTCAGGCAATATTCTGGACACGGACCAAATTCGGCGCGAGAAAGGTGTTGTGGCGGTCGTTTTTGAAGTCGTGATTGGCACGCGAGATTCGCAGCGGGGAGTCAAACCGGCGGAATCTGCGCCATCAGTGGCGGCAGGACCAGATGAGCCCTCGCAGGATAGTTCCGTCACCGAGCGAGAAGTGTGGCCACCTGAGCCCAATTCACAGCCCAACGGTGAAACAGAGTATCCTGAGGATCCGGCGTACTCCCATGATCCGTCACACTGGCCTGAGTATCCGGGACCCGGGTATGGGGATGAGCCGCAGTCGTATCAATCGCTCGGCGAGATGACTTTTACTCCTCCGTCAGAAGAGCCGATGGACGAAAAGGCACGGTTACAGCGTGCTGAGCAGATGCTTCTCCCTAGCCAGCCTCTGGAGGATGACCCAGGAGTCGGATCGTCGGACTTGGTAATGCCGACGGCTCCAGTGCTACCGGAAGATGACCACCTCCAGGATTACCATCATCTGCCTTCGCCAATTGAGAATTCCACCCCGCGCCCGGCCATCTCCGCGGAGTCAATGCAGACGGTAGTGCCTGGCAGCAGCGCCATGGCTGCCAGCGAGGCGGCGCAGACAGGTGATGATAAACAAGAGCTGGAGCGACGGCGACTGATGGCGCAGGCCAGCGCGCCCGAGGAATTGGATGTAGCACCAGCTGAGTCGGGTGACGCACCCACGGCGCCGGTTTTTCATGATGATGAAGAAGACCATCACTTGGTGGGTGGCATGGCGCATGGCGACGAGTCCTTACCGCGGTATCAGCGATGAGCGAATCGGCTCAGGGAGCATGTTTTCATTGTTTCATTTTCGTCTGATTGAGTCTATTGCATTGCGGGGCTACCGGGAGATACCATTTAAGTTTTTGTGATCTTTTTATTCATTTATTACATTTCATATATCTCATAAATCTCATAAATTTTTATGCATTTCATACTTGCTGGAGATAGTGACTAAAAAAGTTGGCTTATCGCAGCCATGGGGATGGATGGGATATGGAGGGAAGAGACGATACGAAGGAACAGCAAAACAAAACCAAGTCATTGATAAGGAAGTGTTTGGTGTGGTTGATAAGCATGAGAAGCTAACTAAGGGGGGGGGGAGAAAGACGCGCCAAGCCCCAAGCCGGGTTTGTCTCTCAACCTCCGGCAGCGACTGCACTTTCGCATCTTCTTCCCTCGGGCCTAGCTGATCTTGCTTTCTGTTGCGATCAAACCACCACCACAAACAGGACGGAGAGAACACTTTTGTTTCCACACCTTTTCAGCCCGTTCCTCGAAATACTGTTCGCACCGGAGCACTTCAAGCCTTGCAGTCATGGCTTTCCGCAACGGGTCCTTTGCGACCTTCCTCATCGTGTGCCGTAAGCAGCAACCCAAATATCTTCACCACCTTTTCAGCACACTAGACACTGACCTCACATACGAAAACCCATAGCAACCAGCTTCTTCCTCGGCATCATCTTCTCCCTCTTCCCCTACGACTACCCGATCCTCTGGTCCACGACCCCGACGCCCGCCACGCACTTCGACTACTTTGAATCCCACCTCCGCTTCCTGCACGCCTCCCCGCCCCTCATCCCGCGCATCCTCCACATCGTTATTTTTCTGGGGTTGGCCGGCCTCGTGACCAAGCTCTACCGCCCCTCGGAGAGCAACATGCTCTTCGACGGCGCGAGCCTGGTCCTGTACATGTGCGGCGTGACGGTGTACATCGCGAATATCGTGAAGGGCCTGCGGCTGGTCAGCGCGGGTACCTACGGCGATGATCTGCTCGCTGCGACCGCCGCCGCCGCCGGTGCTGGAGCTGGAGGTGACGCGCCGGCCGAGGAAGGGCAGATCCTCGGTCGCGAGGATTCGCTGAAGGTCCTCGCGGCGAGCAACACGATCCTGGCGCTGGTCTTGGTGGGGGTGCTCGTCTTGCAGGCGGGCCAGTGGTATGCCGAGCGGAAGGAGGCGCAGGAGCTGGCGAGTTTCAAGGCTTCTTCCTCTTCCTCTTCCTCGAAGAAGGAGAAGGAGAAGGAGGTGAAGGAGGATGCCGCTGTGGAGAAGGAGGAGCAGCAGCAGCAGCAGCAGCAAGGTGCTTCCTCTGCTACGACGACCGGGAGGGTGACGAGGCAGGCGAGCTCGCGGAAGAAGAATTAGTGAGATTGGTTGCTTGTGAGTGAGTGTGGTCGGGGGTAAGGGGGGTGACGTGAGGAGGATCTGCTGTTGTTGTCTGTTGTTGTTGTTGTCGGATACGAGCTAGCTAGCTATGAACGCTGCGCTGCGCTGCGCTGCTCATGTGGACTAGGTACTATTGCATGGATGGCTGTTCAAAAAGTCTTCGAGCGCTTTGAGGTTGTGATGCTAAATGGGATAATTCTACCTACCTGTCTACCTATCATCTGCCCACCTACCTAAGTGTATGGGCTCTAAATCGTCGAGCCCGTTGCGTTACTCTCTCTCTCTCTCTCTCTCTCTCTCTCTGTGAGAGAACAGAATGCTGGGGCCGACACTGCTATTCCCTATGCTTTACCCTAGCCATGGAATGGAAGCTCTGCACCGTACCCTCCCCCCATACTCAAGCCCCTACAATACAGCGCAAAAAAAGCACACAGCCATACTCATACGAACATCTATATACAGATTGAAGAACGAAGAGACCGGGATTCCCTCCCCATCTTCGAATCTTAGATCATGAAGAAGACGAAAACAGGTAAAACACATAAAATAGCCTATGAAGTTTGATATGTGGGGGAATCATAAAAACAAAAGGAAACCAGCAACATCGAACAAAACACACAAGCACACACACAAGTTAAGCGAGGGTGGCTAATATATCAACAGCAACAGCAACAGCAGAATGCAGAGAGTCAAAAACAAAAAAACGAAGGTGATATAGTAAATGCATGCTAGGCTTATTTATAGACGAGAACAAACCTTCCAGAGAATAACACAGAGCCTAACCCAAGTCGCAGATGCAGGATATTGAGAAAGGACTAATCTCACATATGTAGGGTCCCCGGGCTGAAGGAGAATGGACTCCGGGGCAGGTCGGGCGTGCGGGGACTCAGGGCCTTGGCGAAGAGTTCCTCGCCGGATTCGGCGTTGGAGGGGTGGGTGTGTGTCAATGAGCCTATTGAGGTGAAGCCGGTGTGGTGGAGGTGGTGGTGGTTTTGTTGTAGGTGGTGCTGGTGGTGGTTGCCGGGGGATTGGTGGGTTTGGAGCGATTCGGGGGGGTAGTGGACGATGATGGGGCGGGTGGGCGGGTCGGAGGGGGGTTGGGTTGGTTGATTCTTGTTGTTGTTGTTGTTGGTGGTGGTGGTGGTGGTGGTGGTGTTGCTGTGGAGAGTGTGGAAGGAGGTGAAGGAGGAGACGGCGACGTCTGGGGACTGCGGGGAGAGGAGATGGCGGGCCGTGGCGGCGTGGCCTGTAGGTTATTTGAGTGAGAAGTTAGCTTGTGGACTTGTAGTTGGAGCTGGTAAAGACGGTTGAGTCAAGAGGTGGAAAAACATACCCTCTCCCTTCGGCGATAGTTCCTTCTCACCCGTCTGCAACTTCAACCCCCGGAGCTTCTCCCCCAGCTTCCCCCCACCTGTGGTACTGGGCGACACCGGGGTCGCCGGACCCATGGGATAATGCGGATCCGGATGGCTGGCCGGCGGACTGCGCTCTGTCAACGAGACCCCGAAGTTGGTCTCGATCCACTCCTTCTCCTGCAGGGCCATGTGCAGCGCGATCCCCTCGACATTCGCCAGACACTCGTCGCGGATCTCCTTGTCCAGCACCTGCAGCCGTTTCTTCGCCCAGATGGTGTGCAGCACCCCCTTCTTGCCTGCGGAGCGGCCGTCCGCCCCCAGCTCCGGCGGGAAGATGGCGGGTAAGGGGTTCAGATGCAGTGGCTCGGGGGCCTTTCCCGTCGCCGCCGCCGCCGCTGCAGCAGGATTTTGGTCGTGATCGGCGGGGGCGGCTTCGTAGAAGAGCGTCACGGTCGGAGGGATGGTGACGTGCGGCGGGAGGAGGAAGTAGAACCGGCGCGTGTTGTCCTTGGTCTTCTCGTCGGCGGGGAGGACCGCCTGTTTCCCTTCCCAGGCGACGTGCCATGAGCCGCCGCCTTTGGTGTTGTTGTTGTTGTTGTTGTTGTTGTCCGTTGAAGGACCGGTCCGGCCGAGATCGTCGTCTTCCCACTCGATCATCAGGATCTTGGTCCCGTCGTTGCCCTTGCCGGCTTCGAATTCGAAGCGAGCCAGAGCGGTGATGGAGATGGTGCCATCGGGGACGCGCGATGGGTCGAGGGCAGCGAATTCGCTGTTGTTGGGGGTGAAAGGCGTGGGGAGGGAGTATGCCATGGCTTTGGGGGGTCTTTTTGTGTTTGTACTTTCGGGTCGTTGTATGGTGCGGAGGACGATGAAGGTTTGGACCTTCTAGGCGGACCGGACGAGGGCAGTGAACTGTCGCTGATAAGATGAACGAGGCATCTGAAACGGGGATGGAGATGCTGGAGGGACTGAAACCGCCGATCACGGGTCAGACGAAATGGAATGATTCCTCGTGTTGGTGTCAATCAGTGGGACTGATGATGATGATGATGTTGCTCTGTCGTCCACGAGGCTCAAAGAAGATGGATAAGAGAGTCTAAGGATAGAAACTGGAAGAAAAGTCAAGATCGCTGGTGGTGGTGGTGGTGGCGGTGGTGGTGTTGATTGAATGATTGATTGACTTGCATTATTGATTTGATTTGATTTGATTTGAGGGGTTCTGAAATTGATGGGCTTTTCTAATTATAGATTCAGCCTTGGCATCACACCGCAGCTTCAACGCTCTCTCTCTCTTCCATGTTTATTTCCCCCACCCCTTCGTTTTTGTTCTGTTTCTGCCACGTCCTGATCACTGCATTGCTGTTGAATGCTAGGCCCTTCATCATGGCAGCAGACATGCAAGTCGAAGAAAGTCGAAGAGATGCCTCATGCTTGGAGGGATGCCTGATTGGCCTCGTGGCTGCCACCCGAGGCTGAGCGAGGAAGTACTGTATGTACCCCACTTGAGGTACGAAGAGAGATCAAAGACAGAGACGAGAACGAAGAGGGGCACTGGAAGAGACCACGAATGGTGGAGCGACAAAGAGGACTCGGGCCAGGCATGTCAGCAATATCCTTGGTCAGGTTCATTGTGTTGTTCGTCATGGATCACTGCGGGAGTGATCCCTCCATGATATACTCATGCGAGAAGGGCTCTCTCCCTCTATAAGCAGCCATCTGGCCAACAGCTGGTCAACCACCTCTTGTCTGTGTGCCTATCACTCCTATTGCATCGGACTGAAAACGTCCGTAACTTTGGTCATGGTAAGCAACCCCCAATGTACAGAACAATACCATACCACCACCGCCATGGGACGAGCATTTGGGCGGCAATACGCGGGTGGACAGTCTTCAGGGAAGGGGAAGGGTGATGAAGAGATGCGATCATGCAGGGAATTTTGCGCTTAAACTGCCCGAAGAAACGGACGCGCCGCCCATGATTTGTTCTATGATTGTCCCCCGCGTTGTGATTATCACCAAAGGGGACGAATCGTCTACGTTCATTGGTAGACTCTTGCTCAGAAGAAAGAGAGGGGCAAAGTCAACGCACTCGATTTCTGCAATCATCATCACAAAAGTCAACATCATCAACTTGACTAACCGCTGGTATATTGACGAAGGGGGCATGAACCGACTGGGCTGGAAGGACAGCTAAGACTCACAGCGACCCAGCCATTCGTCACGGACTTGCGAAAATCCCGATGAGGTCGAGGACTATGACTGGTTGACGAACGCACGCTCCACCAGTCAAATCAAGATTCAGTCCATGGGGATTGTCCGGAGGATATTATCATAAGGAGGGGTTGTTCATTCGATGCACTGACAGGACTGACGACAGTCTGATCCGGTGTGTTGTTGATGTTCGACCTCGGATCAAGTCAGTTGCAATGGAAATCCAAGCAGCATTGTCGACGACGACACTCGGACCAGCATCTGCGTTCATCATCAATGAATCTATCGTCTCCGGCTCCAACCTCATGATATAAGCTCCCAATGCAGCGATCGCAAACCAGTGTATGGCCCATCGTCACTGCAGCCGCCATAAGAGCGGTTACCAAAAATATCTCCCCCCCCCCCTCCTCTCCCCACCTCCATCCCAGAATAGCAGTGCGCATACATAGCATCTTCTGCGCTTAGCCCAATCAGAGTGTCTCTTTCAGGGTCTCTTCAATCACCCAAAATAACTTCCTTAGCCTGTGATGAAAATAGAAAGCCTGCAGATATCCGGGAGTTCTGAGGACACTATCCGCCCTTCCAGCAAGAGGGAAAGGAAGTGTGTGTGTATGCGTGTCTGGCTCTCACATCTGCCACTCACCTGCTGACCTTTGCACTGTTCGACTATGCTGCAGACTAGGAAAACAGCTGCCCCTCCCTCCCACTGCAGAGCACAGAAGTCTACTGCACAGCACGGGAGTATACTGTACATCCAGCCGTCGAGTTACGTGTGTAGTCGAGTGAAACAGTCAGTCAGTCAGCCAATCCATCCTCAGCCTGCAGAGAAGACACCAAAGAATCCAACCGGATTGGGCCAACCGCGAGACGCTGCCCACCTACTTACTTACTCCCTGCCCCGCTTTTTCCTCTGCCCGCGTCTGCTGATTAGGTACTCCGTAGTTAGAGTAGTTATTTCCGCTGAATTATCAATCCCAGTCTAAAGTCATCGCAGGTTTTCCTTCCGTCCCCCTTCCCTTCAGACGGCTAAGCCTATTGAGCAAGGTCAACTCTCTGCACGAATCTGGTATATAGGAATTTTCAGAGGAAGGGGCACAGGTTGACACGCGTGCGATGATCCCCTCCGAATAAGAGAGGGGTGGGGAGGGGAAGTGCGAGCGGCTGAGATCACGGCGGCAAATCTATGGGGTTGAAAGGCGTTATGGAAGTGATGAACCAAGTTTTCGTCTCTACATTGAGTTTCTTCTCTGGTGGTTTTTCGGGGCGGGTGGGAAATCCTTCACAAAGGTTAATTGCATGGGAGCTTGTTTTCATGGTTGGGCTTTGTTGGTAAGTATCTTGTGTTCCTTTCTGTCTCTATTCCTCGCTCTTTCTTTGGTGTGTTCTCAATCCTACGGATAGGACTTGGGCGAGTGCCCTATTCTGTAGTCTACTCCTTCTAAATATAGTATACCTTAGTACTAAGCACCGATACTAGCAGGGCTGTTGCACCCTGTGGTAGTGACAGTAGTTAACCTGAAGGTACAACAATACTTCGCCGGGACCACATCGTGGCAGCTGCAGTTAAGCGCCGGCACTAGGCTTCTTAGGGCGATGGTGGGTCCTGTCGGCGGGCTTTCCCCCCTCCCGATTCTGGAACCATTGGTTCCGCCGGGATAAGGATCGATGTGGGGGGTCGAGTTTAGATGACGTGTGGTGGGTTTTGGCGCCGAGGGGGACTTTCTTACTTGCTGGTTGGCTCGTCGGCATGGCCAGGCTACTAGGTATGATGTTACCTAGGTAGGCTGCTACGCCGGAGCTGAGGAGGAATGCTAGTACCAAGTAGCTAGCTTCTAGCACACTGTCTATTTGGGTGTGGTAGGTTCTAGAGGGAATTGAAGGTCGTGGTGAAGAAAGCCGCGTTGGAGGAGCGCGTGTCTATTCTACTCATACCTGTTGCTCATAACAATCTTCCATCTAACATTGAGCTTGAGGATACAAGACCGGGGCATCGAGGATACTCAAGAGCCACATCGCTAGAGTTCATGAATGCCTGGCATCAGACCAGCCCTATCACGGAGGGTGAGTGGTGAGGTTTTCTCGAAGCCCTCTCCATCTCATCACTAAGATCTCACTCTTGTATTTTTTTTTCTATTTCTAGCTCAATCTCATCCAATGTACCGTACACACTAAGAAATCTCCCACCCCTTAATCCCGCTTGCCTGCGCCCGCAATTCTTCAGCGAGCAAACATGAAACAGTCAGCGCGCTTTGCCGGCCAATGACCTGGCCCCATCGAGAGGTGCTAAATCACAGATTGATCTAAGGGCTCTCCTCGCAGTGCCCGGGCACGGGCACTGCAGGGTTGACCGGCGACCGTTTAGCACGGCAGACTTCTTCGACCTGACGCTCCCCCCGGGCGAATCACCGGAACTTTGGACGCGGATGAGTCTAGAGTGTAAATGTCAGTCTTAGTCGAGGGTGGCTCAGTTTACTAAAACGTCGAATTGCAAGCCCACGGACAAGAAAGGGGGGAAAGGGAGGTTGCTCACGATCTCTGGGCGTAAATTGTTCCAATGGGGAGGGTAGGGTTACCGCCGTGCGCTCGCGTTGGTATCGAGTGTATTGGTTATTTACCGTTACCGCTGACGGTGGGTTGGTTACCGTACACCACAGAGCATACTATGTATTTGGTTGTGATGAGCCTCTTCTCTTCTTCTTCTTGACCCTTGGGATTTGAACTTTATCGATGCTGTTGATGATACTCTCTCCTACATAGACGTGTTATTGAGTCAGTAGCGATGCTTACCACCTGGAAAACATACATACACACATACACCCCTCCACATCAGTATCTACACAACAGCCCTTTCTACTACCTCGCAAGACAACCACAACCATCTGGTATCTACATCGAGCCCCCCAAAGACTCCCAACCAACACAACAACGTCCAGAATCTCAACCTCCCAGGTCATGTTCTCACTCTACTGCATCTTCAAACCAACCCGAACAACACCCCATCCCTTCCCAACCAAAGCACAACCCCCCCTCCCCTCCCAAGTAACAACCGCGCCCCCGGAAAAAAAAGGTTTCACTCCCGTCTTCCCCGAGTGAGATTTACCTTTCCGGCTCAGGCTTCCCTCTCTCCCCCCAATAGTCATCTTTACCACTGCCCCGGGCCGGGTCACGACTCATCTCCCTGAGATGGGATAGGACGGTTGGGGCGAGTGAACGGCCCACACCGCCGCGAGAAGGCTGTTACCATAGACACATCGTCAGTCAGTGCGCGCTTCCGGATGCTTGGGTCCCGCCGGCGTGGTTGGGCATCTAGCTCGTAAGTCACGCTTATGCTTGAAAGGGGCCAGTGAGCAGGAATAGGCTAGCTGAGAGAGGACCTTCTGTACTTGTCATGGTGGGTGGAGATGGGTTGTGGATGGGTGATTGTTGATGTCGCAGGATCTTTAGGGTAAACACGTGGTTATGGCTGGAGGGGAGAATGGGATTCAGAGGATCTTGGGATCTTGGGGGGAGGGGGGCGGATTGTATACAGAGTACCTACGGTAGGCTTGAGGGGGGGGTGGGAGGTGTGTGCATGCGGCGCAGATGCCTTGCAGGAGGCTCTGGGTTGGTGCTGAAGGTGGTGTATCGGCCCGAAGTCAATCGTGGGTTTGAGTCTGTGGGTTTTGGGTGGTATGGATGGAGCTTAGGGTGGGTTGGTCAGGGAGGAGGTTTGTAAGTTGGTAAGTTGGTCGGTATGTACTGTACTCTATGTACCTTTCTCGGACCAAGTTGATGGTAAGAAACAGTGTCGATGGCTCTAATGTTGATTGATGGAGGGTCTACTATAGCGAAGAACTTACACTCACGCCGACGTCACTACTAGGTGGTAGATCAGACCCCATGTACATATCGTCATTGGTCAAGTCTGCTTGTGTTTGCCAATGAACCAGTCGTAGCCGCTTCCTGCGGGTATCCCCCTTTCTCATGTTCATCGAATAGAGAAACAGACTTCAAGTCAAAGTATGAGTGACTTCCAAATGTCTTCGAGAGACTTAATCATATTTGTTATATCCTCGCCAACAATGAATCCGCTCCCCAACTCCCAACGCCAAACCCAGCGCTACCTAACCCAGACAAGAAAAAAGCGCTTCAAACTGAATAGAATCAAACTTTCACAGTGCATCTTTCTCCTCACTATGCTTTCTCCGCTTCCCCTTCGGCGGATCCTCCAGCTGTGTTCGCTTATATGTCACGGTATGGGTGACCACATGCCGCACGCTCACCCGGCTGGCGGTCGCACTCCGCGGGCCCTCCCAATACCGCAGCTTCCAATCCGACGGCGAGTAGGGCGACAAGATCGAGTTCGCGCTCCGGGGCGTCTCCAACGTGGGCGAGTACCGCATGGCCGGGGGAATGCGCAGACGGCGCAGGTTCATCATGTCCCGCCGGGTCGGGGGCACCGTGCCGTAAGGCGTCGGCGGCGGCAGCGACGCCGTCGCGGGTCTGGTGGCATCGGAGAAGTTGAAAGAGCCGCTGACCGCACTGGCCGGCTGCGATGTCGGGGTTTTCGTGGCCTTGTCCCAGACGAAGCGCGTGGTGGCCCCATTGCCGTCGGCGGGGGAGAAGATCGGGGTGAGGGCCTTGAGGAATTCGGTGTAGGCGGCGGGTGGGGTGATGGGCGTCGACAGGCCGTCGTCACTGTTGTTCCTTGCTCCTCCCCCGGATAGACTGGCTCCTGAGTCCGCTTGAAGTTCGGAGGGGAAGGTCATTGTGCGAGGGGTCTGCAACGGGTGGAGGATTGGCTTCGCCGGCATTTTTGAAATGATGTACGGTAGAAGTGTCGGAGTCTTGAGAGGTTTAGGTATTGTGTAGGACACAAGAGTGCTCAAAGTGTCTCTGAAGAAAGGAGGCTTTGGGAGCCAGATGACAGTTTGTTCTGGCAAGGATGCGCCTGACCTTGGTCACGTTGTGCGTGGCAGTAGACAAGGGCCACTGGTGTCGTATATAGATCGATCTTGTATGGGACAGCCGACACCCGGGGGGCGAGACGGGACTAGGTGACTGAAGCGATCCAACCGGGAACGTCGCAGCTGTGATAAGAATAGAGAAAGACCGGAAAGGAACTTTTTTTCGTGATATCCTGTTTTCTCAGGAGAAGAAGCGAAGGAGGGTGGGGGAGGAGGTTAAGGGATGGAGGGCGGGCGAGATGTGGAGGGTGAGGATTATTATTTATCTCGAATTGACGGACAGTCCAGAGAGGCAGACGGATTTCGCGTACCGTACGGGTATTAGGACGGTAAAAGAACAAGACGCATGTCATGTAAGTATGATGGTCTGTCACGAATCCAAGGTCAGTGTCACGCGCTAGACCTAAAATGGCTTGATCCCGAGAGGTGCGCGGCTGCATTGAGGGAGCCCGAATCACCCTTTCCACACACTACATCTATCCGCCTCCACACGTTTCAACTCACCCAAGCGGGCTGCAAAGAGGTGTGATCTCCAATGCAATGGATTATCAGTCTGCAGACTTGGCTGGTGTGGATTGGCTTCCGGGAGAATGAGGGGAAGACGGTGTTTCGCTCGAATGCAGGTTCAGATCGGTTGATCTGCAAAGATGTGTGACAATTGATGAGAAGGTGTCGGCTGCTCTGTCAAATGGAATGAAGCTCAAGCATTCATCGGGACCATGCTCTTTATATTCCTCCTTCGAAAGGGCCTGAAAACTGGTCTCTATCGCTCAAATTGACCAAACATGCAATGCTGTAAACTAACGAACAAGGCCGAGATACTGACTGCCTCAGGGATTAACGCGCGCTATTTCCCAGCGCTAAAGGCTCAACCTCTCCTTGAACCACCACACAATATGTACACCATGTTGCTCGTCAAACTACGTTCAATCCAATCGACTGCTCGGAAAGCCACCCCAGGTCAGAGATACTCAGGACCCTTGTCGTTATCGTCCGCGTTAATGCACACATCTGCCGGTCTTGCCTAGTGGCGGCTCGCCCGGGATTCCATCGTGCAAATCGTCAATCAGATGTACAGTGAACCCACACAATCTGTCTCTCTGGAAAGCTTCCTGCGGGGAGCTTTCAATTCTATTGTCAATCTAGTTTGGCGGCTGGATCTCCCCAGACTTCCACACGGCTTGTTTTCATACTTTATCTTCATATCAACTCTGCCGGGTTGGCGCCAGCATTGCATCCTCATGCATCCGTACCTCTTCAGTAAATTGAACGACGATTGGTCAAGGGTTGATATCAAGGTAATGTCAGTCACTCCGTTGTCATGGCATGACGAACTATGCGCGCGGGGTCTGTGACCAGTACCGTGCTCAGACTCGCAGGGGCCTTCCGTCCACCCCTCTATGTGCAAGAGTGCTCGACCTTCTGGAGAAGTGTCCCTGCTAAAGTATGTGAATCCCCACTCTTCTTGCAGACTGGCTTTTGCTGGTGGGTCTATCATGATATCCAATGTTCATCACACCATGCCGCAGAGAAGGTAAACATTGAGACACACATTGGCACAGGAAGGGTCGCATCGGAGATCAAACAGTTGACAGCTATCTTGGTTAACTATCTCGGGAAGCCATGAGGATAGACTGGTGTGCTCGTACCGTTCTGTCCCATTGGCTGCTCGTCAACCGTTGGGTAATTTCTCACACCATCTTATTTCTCCGGTGCCACAACCAACAAACCTTTCTACTCAGTGTTGGATGCAAGCCTACGCCTGAGGGATGCAGCTCGGCCTTTAACTGCTTGCCATGTTACCATGACATTCAACAATGATGGATCGGAAGCTAATGGATTGTTCGAGACCGGACCTTGTTGATGTGAAGTCAAAAGCGCTGACCATTCCACTTCGGACGTATGACAGTAAGGATATAGCTCCTCGCATTAGAATTTGACACCCAATCTTAGTGGTGTTATGGATTACCATTGCATGAACGGCTCTTCTAGACGATGGAGCATTGATTCGGTGTGGGAAGCTGAGGAAGATGATAGAAACCGATCTTGACCACTTGACTCCCCCGAAAGCGACATTATCTGCGTGCCACAGTCATGCACCCAACCCGTCATACCCTTTTCGGTCATGAACCTTTGGCGTATCGCCTAATGGAAATCTGCGTACAGTGACATTTGTTACAGCGACTCGCCCTTGGGACCGTTAACGTAGACCCAGAGGTCATAAGCACAGGGCACATTAAGAATACGACTTTCTTCATGCAATTGAGCCGAACTGTGGCCGTGGGACCCAGGGCTTTCCTTGAAAGTCGAGACTTTCTAAAGTCAGATCAATGATTTCGACGCTTTAGACACCTTAGAGTTCTGGCTCCTGCCGCTCTACGGCCATGATTGATCACCGCGGATAAACAACCTATGAAGTTAAATGAAATGCATTCCCCAATCAACCTGAACGCCATCTATCAGAATAAATCCCGCAATCAAGCCGAAGCACAATGGCCCCCATCTACCCTCAAGTCCGCTCCCGTCATAAATCCGCTGCCATCGGCCAGCATGTACACCGTGGGCGCCTTGAAGTCCTCAGGCACGCCCAGGCGGCCCAGCAGCGCACCCCGCATCCAGGTCTCCTCCACCTCCGGCTTCTCTGCGAGCAAGGCATCCGTCATAGCGGTGCGAATATACTGCATTTGAGTCAATGGTTAGCAGTCATCGCTGGACGCATGAGGATATAAGAGCAAATCTACCCCGGCGGATAAGGTGTTAACGCGAATGCCATATTGTCCCCATTCCTGTGCTACAGAGCGACACATCTGGTGGACGGCCGCCTTGGACGAATTGTATGCTGTGCAGGTGAGACCCTGTGTGTGCGGCCGCCCTGTCAGCTTTTCTTCTGTCACAGTCGATGGAATGGAAAAAAGGGAGTCTCTTACTCGGTTGGCGATCTGCCCAGACATCGAAGCAATCATCACAATGCTGGCGGGGGTGTTCTGTTCCTTGAAGATGCGAGCACAATGCTTGGCGGGGATGAAGGTGCCAATCACGCTGAATACCGGTTCTTGTTAGATTTCACACATCACATCCTCCCACAGGAACCGTGGCCTTGGTGGTGGTGGTGGTGGTGGTGGAAGCTTTTACTTAACGTCCAACATCTTCCTCCACATGTCAATGGGGTACTCCAACGCGGGCACCATCTGCTGGATCCCGGCGCAGGTGATGAGTCCCCGCAGGGGCATATCGCGGCCCAACGCCTCGGCGGCGATCTGCTCGAGGATCTGGCTCGTGGAGGCCTCGTCGGTGATGTCGCACGAGATATAGGATGCGTGGAGGCGCCGCGCGCTGGCCAGTTTCTGAACCGAGGCCCATTCCTCGGCGCTGGGCGCGGGGAGAAGATCCAGGCACACGACGTCGCCGCCGGCTTCGATGACGGCTCCGGCCAGCACAATCCCCAGTCCCCGGCCGCCACCGGTGATCGCGACCGTGCGATTGCCGAGCGAGAAGAGGTCGTTGGTGCGCCCGATAACCGGCGGCTGTGTTGAGGCGGCGACGGCGGGGGTGGTGTGCTCGAGGGCGACCTCGGGTGTGGTGTTGTCGGTGATGGAAGGGGACATGGTGAGAACTTGTGCGAGAGGACTTTAGGTGCAGGCGAGGTGGTTAGGTGAGTATGGGGGAGGGGAAGTTTAAATGAGGATTGTCGTGGAGAAACTACGGTTATATGGGGAGTGTGCAGTTGGTGAGTGGACTGCGCTTATGCTTAACATAAGTAGGAGGAAACTTGCTGTGGGACAGACATCCTGTTGGAACTGTTCTGGCATGCATTTCGCTCTGGGACCGTTCTCATCGCTGCGCTGCGATTGCTATGCTATCTGCTCCACTGATCTATGGTATAGCGCCGCTGTTCAAGACCTGGCCTGTGATGAGTTGCTGTATGTAGTACGTACGCGGGTGGGAGGGTAACCGGCCACTAGGACGGGTCCACGACGGTGGTGCTAAAGCCTTCCTGAAGGGGAAAGTCCGGGATGATGAACTCGTGGCTTTGCCGATTCCCTTCGGCTCATCCCACTGTGGGTCGTGCCGAGGCGCCAAAGCTTACCAAACTGGGGAATATACGAGCGCACCTGCAAACTTGGTGATGCCCTAAGCCAGAAACCCACTCTGCCTAATTCATGAAGCGGAGGTTGAATAGTGGCATGAATCAGATGATGTCGTGCAGAATGGAGGTGCGCAACATTCGGGACAATGCTTATGAGCATGCAGACTTTGATGACCAGGCCAACGTTCTCACTATAGTGACTTGCGATACAACCAAAAGGCGTCAAACTGTTGAACCGCTACAAACGTGGTTTCTGGGAGCCTGAATAGCCATGGATCCAACCATGAAGTTTCAAAGGAAGCTATGGTTCCGTCTTTGACCATAATTCCTTGGAAAGAGGGTTTCGGTTGTTCTCCGCTTCCCAAAAACACAACCCCGGGTTCCTCGTGTCCGTCCCCGCAAAAACCACCCCATGAAAATGACGTCCTATTATCCCGTCCTTCTGCCGTCTTTCGGCGATTTTAACCCTACCCCAGCCCAGCCCTATAAAAGTAGATGGAGCCCCAAATAGATCGGAGTCAATGCGAGCCAGCCCTAGTTTGCTAGCCTTGTTCCTTAATCACAATTCAAACATCTTTACGGAAAGACATGACTGTTCTCACTGGTAAGCCACTGTCGCTGGCTATTACTGCCACTGCAGGAAGTGGTTTCCTTCTGTGAGTCATCCAATGCATTCGTCCATCTTTATCGGACCAAGACTGACTTGAAGGTTTAGATTCGGATATGATCAAGGTGTTATGTCAGGTCTTTTGACCGGTACTGCATTCACGCGGACATTCCCGGAGATTGACACGACCTCCACAGGACATGGCAGTTCTTCACTGCAAGGCACGGTGTAAGTCGGTTCAGATCTGTGGAAGTGTTGTGTGCAGCGAGCTAACTGGGGCTAGGGTTGCTATCTATGAGATCGTAGGTTGATGGCACTTCGATTTCGCTGATGACACACCAATTGACCATGGAGTAGGGCTGCTTCTTGGGTGCCCTGATTGCTCTGTTCGCGGGTGAGAAGATCGGCCGTCGGATGTGTATCATTGCAGGTTGTATCATCCTCAGTATCGGGGCGGCGATTCAGTGCAGTGCGTATGGTATCCCGCAGTTGATTGTGGGTCGGATCGTGGCCGGCGTCGGCAATGGTCTCAATACCAGTACAATCCGTGCGTCTGTCCTCAGACTACCGTCCCCCTAGGATGCAGGCTGATTGGAGTAGCGGTGTGGCATTCGGAATTGAGCAAAGCATCCAGTCGAGGAAAAGGGGTATGTGACTTCGCTGACAACATCGATGGTCGGTTCTGACCTCGTATAGCTGGCGATCGAGCTCACGATCAACATCTTCGGTGTCATGACAGCCTACTGGGTTGGTTAGTCTATCTACTGCTTCCCCAGCCCCGCCACACATACTAAAAGGGCTCAGATTATGGAATGAGTTATGTCGACAACGAGGCTCAATTCCGGTTCCCTATCGCGCTGCAGATTCTTTTTGCCATCATCACGCTTCTGGGGGTGATTACCTTGCCCGAGTCGCCTCGTTGGGTGAGTTTTGCTGTCCCGAAGGGCTTTGGGACTTGGGAGCTAACACAGGAAAGCTTATTTCCCACGGCCAACGCGACGAAGCGCAACACATCATCTGGGCTGTTCAGCCTAACGCAGGCCAAATCTCTGAGTCTGACACCATCGTCACCACGGAGGTGGCAGAGATCTCTCGTGCTATTGCAGAGGAACAGGCAGCATCCCAGGAAGGATCATTCGGCATGATCTTCAGCAACGGGCCTCAGAAGTTCTTCTACCGCACGCTTCTGGGAATGGGGGGACAATTTATGCAGCAAATGTCGGGCGTCAATTTGATTACTTATGTGAGACCAACACTCCACCCTTGGAACTTAATTGAATATGTCTTGCTGAATGAACGCAGTACAACACGGTGATCTTCGAGAACTCGGTTGGTATGAGCCACAACCTGGCCCTACTGATGGCGGGCTTCAACGGGGTAGCCTATTTTGTCTCTACCTTTGTCCCCGTCTGGACTATTGATAGGTACAGTTCTTGCTCTCAAGCTCACCCGCTCAGCTGCTAATTTGCACAGGCTGGGTCGTCGGAAACTCATGCTCTTTGCGGCGGCGGGTCAATGCGGCTGCATGGCCATCCTAGCCGGCACTGTGTACGATGGCGGCCATGCGGCTGGTATCGTGGCCACCGTGATGCTGTTCCTCTTCAATTTCTTCTTCGCCGTTGGCCTGCTGGCTATTCCGTGGCTATGTAAGTTGGCTCCCAAAATCCCTGGAGACGAAGGTTCATTGACCGATCGCACAGTGCCTGCTGAATATGCCCCGCTGGCGATCCGAAGCCGCGCTGCCGCATTGGCCACTGCCACCAATTGTACGTATCACGGTGGGTGAAGCTGAAGACTCAAGGAGATTTGCTGACTGCCATCCGCAGGGATCTTCACCTTTCTTGTCGTGGAGATCACGCCCGTCAGTATTGACAGCATCGGCTATCGCACGTATATCTACTTTGCTGGTAAGAATGGCCCCCTGATAGGTAGAGGGATATATCAACCCGAGCTAACGATGGCTCGCTAGTGTTTAATTTCTGCTTCCTCCCCTTGATTTACTTCTTCTATCCCGAGACACGCAACCTCACGCTGGAACAAGTGGACTTGCTTTTCACGGGAGAGAAGGTGCAGCTTCACTGGCACCCGTCGATGGGCGCAGTGGGCGATGTCAGTGAGCGCATTGGAGACAAGGAGGTAGGAATGATTGAGCATGTTGAGTGACGGGCAGGTCTCTATCGTCGGTGGTGTACAGAGTTCAGTGCTTATTGGAAGTAGACTTGAGATATCCAAATATACAGTACCTGCGGTATATACAGTGATGACGAAACAATTGTGTTTAGAAAGCCTGGTGCCGGAGACGACCCTCCCAAACAGCCGGGAAACCCCCCCCGGGTTCTTCCTTTCCCCACATCTTCGGCGGTTATCTCTACCCGATCGGGAACTTTTCTTCCTCGCTCCTTGTCATTCCCCGCAGTCTTCGTTTCTTCGGCGGTTTCTCCATCAATACTACGTACCTTGATTTGATCTTCGTCTTATCCCCCAGATTTCTCTTTCTCCTTCAATTGAAAATGGCGGTAGAATCAGAAATTCATCTGGGCCACAACATGCGCGCTACCCTTGACACATCCCGCCTTGCGCCGCGCAAACGCACTCGTACCGGTTGTATCAACTGCAGCCGTCGCCGCAGGAAATGTAATTATCTGCTTCCATCTTGCTGCTCAAAGGTCGACCGGATCATTAAACTGACAGTCCCAGGTGACGAAGCAAAGCCTATTTGCTCGGGCTGCAGACGTCGAGGCGACACGTGTGAATGGCGTCGACTCGGGTCTTTCCGAGAGGCTAATCTCAGAGTCCTCGAACCCGAGCATCCTTCCATGAACCAAACTGCCAGTCGTGCATCTCGTCAGAGTAAATTTAAGGTACATTACAGTCGACCAGGCAGGTCAACTAAGTAGTATTCAACTGACGGATCTAGATCTTGAATGTTGTTCCTGCGCGATCTGCCAAGACAGCGGCAGTTAAGCAATCTCGACGACCAGTAGATGAGCGTGTCGCGTCATCAGCACCGTTAGGAGATGGCAACAATGATGAGAATGCCAACGCATGCTCCGGGCTGGAGTCTCCTTCGCCGAGCACTCAAATTATTGAACCCCATCTCAGCCCGCGTACCGCGGAGCGACTCTCACCGCTATCGCATGAGAGCTTCCAGAACCTAGATAGACTGGATCTGCAGCAGTCTGCCGGAGGGGCGGAGCACGCATCCCACAGCTCTCCAGATGTGTCCCATTACCATCCATATATGCATTCGAGCCCTGAGTTTATTGTCGATGAATTGGCAGCTGTTCAGAATCTTACGGGGAGCACCGGGCAATTCCCTCATTCAGCATCCAATGTCTATCATACGATACCCTCGCCCATGTTTGATCAAAGCGTGTTCTCTGATGCAGTCAGCTTTACCAACGATGTCTTTGTTCCTGGATCTGCTTATGAGGCTCTTCATACTACCCTTCGCAACCGGCAGCTTTGGACTGCACGACCTGATATCCCAAGTCGGGGAAGGACTCCGGAGATCGTGCCGGAGCCCGGCAGTACAGTGCTAGAAGGTTATAAAAGAACGGAACTTCTTGTCGTCACACATCAGAGAACAGGGCGCGAGTTTGAGCTACTGCCCGAACGGGAGAATGTTCTGTGGCAGAATTACCTCAACGAGATTTGTCTTTGGGTGAGTCCGGCACGAACCTTGTGGTAATTGTCAGTACATACTGACCCTTCAGCTTGACATGTTTGACAATCATCGTCATTTTGCTTCAACCTTCCCACAAATGGCCAAGTCGGCGCCTCATCTCCGCTACTCAATTCTAGCCCTGTCCGCCCGGCAGATGGAGCGGAAACAGAACCGGAAGTCTCAATCCGAGAGTCTGTCCTTGTACCAAGAAGCAATTCACCTGCTTCTCCCTGAGCTTGAAAGCAAGAGCACTCCTGTCATCGCCTCCTGCGTGATTCTTTGCGTGTTAGAAATGCTTAGCTGTACGTTCTATTCATTCTTAAGTCTGGCACAGCTGATTGGGGTCGTCAGGCAACCCCAAGGAGTGGCGGCGGCATCTCGATGGCTGCGCATATCTGATCCAGGCTGCTGAGATTAATGGATTCTCTGGCAAGGAGGAGCAGGCACTATTTTGGTGCTTCGCGAGAATGGGTATGCCGTCCACCTGCTTTCCCTACCCCGAATTTTCTAATATGATCTCAGACGTCTGCGGTGGCCTCATCTCGGAAGAAGAAACCATCATACCCATTCGTAACTGGATTCCACGCGACATGATCCCTTCCGAAGCTGCACAGTTGTTCCTGGCGTCAAATGTCTATGCTTTCGATACATATGCCAATTACACTGTGTTCCTATGTGCGCAGACACTGGGCGTGCTGTTTGGCTCTGCTAGACTTTCCACATACTACCACGGCATCCTGGAAGATGGCCACTCGTATGTTGACCGATGGCAACAACTGCTGCATGATGTGGAACAGTGGTACGAGAATCGTCCCAGTCAGATGAAGCCATTATTTAGTATCCCGACCGCGACAGTTGGGGCGGGTAATGATAAGCCGTTTCCGACCGTGCTTTACGGGAATGGAGCTGCTAGTAAGTGCCTCTCGCGCGCTCATATGTCGCTATCTGACGGCTCAGTATCTGGGAACCAACTTTATCATGCCTGCGCTCTTCTCTTACTCCAGGGAAAGCCCAAAACTCTTCCAATGCAGCGACGTCGAACGGTAGGATCTTGCTGGAGAGCTCGCCTAGCTATTCAGTCGCTAATATTGGAACTAGAAGTCTGTCCTCTGGCATGCACGACAGATCTGCGCTATCTCCGTCTCGAACACTCATCAGTATGGAGTCCCACAGTGTCATAATTTAATGAGGTGCTAATCCTTAGTGACTTAGCGGCTGCTGGACCAATGCATTGCAACCTCTCTGGCTAGCTGGCAAAGTGATGTCTCACCATTCCGAGCACGCCGCTATTATTCAGACGCTGACACGTATCGAGCGGGAGACGGGGTGGGCAACAAGCTGGCGAGCAGAAGACCTTCGAGAATTCTGGGGAGATGAGGCAGAAGCAGAGGAGATGGAGGAAAATATGCGAGTGGACATGCAGCGAGATACAAATCTGCAGACTCCACCGAGTGTTCGAGGCAGTACGTGTTCGCATTCCACCTTGTGAGAGAGCGACTCCCCAAATGCGAACGGGGCGATAAATCAAGCAAGACGACCCGCTACAGCAAGTCGGTCTGGTGCCCTGGAATGACTGATTTAGATGGTCAAAGAGGCACTAGAAGACAGTCTCGCATGCTGAGAGAGGGTCTGCATTAGTTTACCAACGCGCATCCGGCAAAAACTCCAGGCAGAGAGAGTTCGAAATAACGCAGCTTGACAAGATATCAGGTGAAAGCGGGTGGAGGTCAAAGTGCCAGCTCGGGCTTTTCCATGGCGGCAGCAGCTTGTGGTTTGTGGGATCCGCCAGCAGATCCACCAGATCCAACATCATGCTGCTGTCCACTCCACCAGCCGCTCCACTGCTCCACCTTCCGCGCAGTTCGTCATCTTGACACCCTCTATTCTAGCCTACTCTATCTACAATGATCTATTCATGAACACAGAACAATCAATCTCTCAAGCTTCCGCCGCTACCCGCCTTAGTACAATCTCCAATCCCTGCGCTCCAACTGGCAGGTCTGCTCCGACATCGTTCAGGTCGAAGTATAGCCGCCAAAGCCCGGTTCCGGCCTCATCGTCCGGCAATCGCACCGCCAGCCAGCCCTCCCACCCATCCAGCGTCAATCGCTGTTCGTCCTTGGTCCAGTCAAAGGGCCCACAGACGTGGCCCTTACTGTCGGGTCGACTACCCCAGCGCACTTCGTGGGTTTGCGCGTCGAGAAACACCCACCGTAAAGTGGGTGGTTGTTCGCCTGTGATAGTCACCAGCCCGGAGGTATTATCGGTCGGGAAATCTGGATGGGTATAAAACCCCCCAGTGTATGGAGACATCGCATTCGGCGGTTTCTTCGTGATGTAGAGCTGTATGTTCCGAATGGAACAGGTTGTTATGTTTAGCTTTGCTGCGACGTTTGAATGGCGGTTGTCTATTGCTCCGGTGGACGGGCAGACTGAAGCAGACAGCCAGTAGTTGGGAAGGAAAGCACAGGCAGACTCACCCGGCCGTCTTGATCCACGTATACCTTTGCGTTCTGGATTTCGCCGCGCTGGCTAGGGGTCCCTTGGGTGAGCGAGCAGCTGGCAATCAGATGGCAGCGCTGCTTGCGGACTGATGCTCGTCGATCTTCTTCATGGTCGCGCGTGTGTTGGGAAGCTTCATTCAGACCAATCATGGTGGGCAGCAGAACTGCCATTACTGCAATTCCTATCACCATGGTGGCGGGGGTTGCTGGTTTTGCCGAAAGGATGTTGGAAGAAAGAGTATGACCATTCGCTAGATATTCTAAACAAGGTCGATGACTGCCTTGTGCTCACACCGAGAGAAGACCGTAAGCAGTTTTTCGCGGCTGAACTGCGAGGTGTGATTAAGTGTGAGTTAAATATGACTGACTGATTGGCGCTGCAGGTGGCAGGTGGAGTATGTTCCTTCCAGAGTGGCGCGATGGTCTATCGCTACTAGGCAAGGTAACTTCAGCTTGCGATTAAAGTCGATGAGGTCAGGTTGTACTATACTATACTCCATACTTTAATGGTGCTCTCTTGTTCATCCTCCAGGCTGTCATGCCGTCTTCTGAAATAAGCTCTTCCTCGTCCACGTCTTATTTCTATTCCCAGTTCTTCCTGCCTGATCTTGTCTGCTCTCTACAGCCGCCAACACCGCTGCCTCTGCTCTCTCCTCCTACCGAGTCAGTTGCACCAGGATCTACTGATATTGTCAAAATGGCCGAGTCAATTACCAGGTATGTCCTTAACTCCTGCTGGTCTTGACGCATTTCAATCCAATCTATCTCTTGTCCTTTTAACCCCGCCCAATTCATGTCCGTGGATGATATCCCTTACAACCCTAACGCTTCCACCAACTACTGGAAAAAGCCGAAGAAAAGGAAGAGGAGAACATATCAGAGCCAATTTCTGTCCTTAGAGTCACCTTCTTCCCCTCCTTCTGCACTTCCACTTCCACATCCCAAACCATCACTCCTCTTCTACTCCTTGTCAAATCTCCCTAAGACTCCACAACCACGACCACAACCACTAACCACCGCCACCTCTCCCACCTTCCCCGAAAACAGCCTCCCGGACAGCCGCCCCACCGGCGGCCGCAAGAACAGCACCAGCATAGACCACCCAGAGGACGAGCTGGACTCCTCCGCCCCTTCTGCAGCCGAGAACCTCCCGACGGACCCCCCTGCCGCTGCCGCCCCCGCCACCAACACCATATCCCAGGGCCTGGTGCCGAACAGCGGGATGAAGGCGCCCGGGCCCACGCAGGAGGAGGACGGCAAGGAGAGTCTCCGGATCCGGATCCATTTGAATCTCCACGCGAAAGTCAAGTTGGAGTTGGATGCGCAGCTGTATGGGGATATTGTGATTGGGCTGTTGTGATTGTTTCTTTCTGGGCGGGTGGGGTGGATATGGATGTACATAGTTTGGGTTGGTTTTGGTGGTGAGTTGGGTTGGGTTGGGACTGGCAATGGGGGTTGATTTGGGTGGGGGAAATGGGTTCCGAGATTGGTTTGGGTTGAGGTTATTTTGATTTTGGGGGG